AATAATGATTAAATAAAGTAATAATAATATTAATAATGATCATTATAAGGACAACAACAATAATAAAAATATGATTATAATAACAACAACAGTAAAAATGATAATGATAGTAACAATATTACTACTTCTTATAATAGCAATGAAAACAATAATAACAACAACAAAAATACTGATAAAAATAACGAATAATAGCAGTAGTATTAGTAATAATGATATAAGTGATAATAATACAATAATATTACAATAATAGTAGTAGTAATAATAATAATAACGATAATAATAATGATAATAATAATTATAATAATAACAATAATAATGATAATAATAATAATAATAATAATAATAATAATAATAATAATAACAACAGCAATAATAATAACGATAATAATAATAATAATAACAATAATAATAATAATAGTAATGATAATAAAAATAATAATGATAATAATAATAATGATAGTAATAATAATAATAACAATGATAATAAAAATAATAATGATAATAATAATAATGATAGTAATAATAATAATAACAATGATAATAATGATAATGATGATACTACTACTACTACTACTACTAATAATAACAGCAATGATAATAATAATAATAATAGTACTACTACTACTACTACTACTATTACTACTACTAACAACAATAATAATAGTAACGGCAATGATAATAATGATAATAATAATAGTAATAATAATAATAATAATAATAATAATAATAATAATAATAATAATAATAATAATAATAATGCCATCTATAATAGTAAGAATAACGATAATAATGATAATAGTAAGAATATAATAATTAAGATATTGATGATAATGATAATGATAATGATGAAGAAAATGATAATAATAATGATAATGATGAAGAAAATGATGATATTAATGATAATGATAATAATGGAAACGATAATATTAGTAATTGAAATAATAATAATAGTAATAATAACAATGATAAGATAAAGAATGATAGTAATAATGACAATGAAATTAATTATGACAATAGGAATGATAATAGTCATGGAAAATTAAAATGTTAATGATAATAATAAATAAAACAATAAAAGTAGTAATGATTGTTTTAATAACAGTAGTGATACTGATAACGATAATAATCATAAATAATATAATTCTATTGAAGATGCCTTCAAGCAATGATCATTACAGTGTCTTACACTAATAAATTCATCGCCACGTAATAAATTCTTACACATTGACAAAATATCACGCGAACTGTCCATTGTAAACGAGCCTGCTATTGGGTGGACAGACGTCAATCATCCTGCTGGATCGATGGGCTGTGTGTGGGTGGGTCTCAAGGCCGAAGGGTCACAGAGGCCATTGAAGCAGTTGAAGAAATGAAAGTATACTGGGTTTAATGTCAGGTTAATATCTTAGTCGGATATAGACTTCGGTTAGAGAAAGAGAAGGATTTGTCTATTGTTTAGGTACTATCAGTGACGTTAAAAATATTATGAGGAGGGCGACAGAATACCGTCTCTTTTTTTGGATTGAGATTATATCGTATTTGCTCCTGTTACAGGGAGCTATAGATATGGGGAGAGAAATCTATAACATTTGCAATAGTATTCATTCACTTTACTGCAATTTTTTATCATGTCGCCGTACTTGAGGGAGGGCATTCCGATTCTTTTGCCGATGGCCGTAACTGAGCAGATCAGTGAAAGACAATACAGAGTATTATGCATTCCATTCGAAGCTTTATATCCTACAATCACAACACATTCCAGATCGATAGCCATAACGCATTCCGCTAGATGAAGCACATTTGTCAATCGACTTCCTTCTTGCAGACCCCGGTAACAGCCTGAGGATGGAGGCGACGCCCGTGCTGGTCCCGGGCCCGGCTTCGAGGAGGATCGTGGGCCTCGTGCAGATGCCCCTGGAAGGCAGCCGCGGGGACTGGTGGGAGGAGGGTGAACCGGCGGAGGGCAGCGGCATGCTGGGCAGGGGCAAGAGGGACTACAGCCTCGAGGATTTCTTCCTGTGGATGGCTTCAGGTGAGAAAAAAATATTCGTGTCTGGTCAAGGACTTAGGCCTGTTTCGTTTTCATCGGAGAGGACTTTCATCTGTCTTTTATTTATCCATTTATATTTTTCCCTTGAAGACTTTGCAGATGTTTTTCGTGAACAGATAAAGGTGGTGTTTTCTGTCTTTTTTCTCTCTCTTTCTCCCCCCCCCCTCTCTCTCTCTCCGAAAAGCTAGGAAAGTTAGAAAGCAGTCTTTAATTGTAGTGTTGATCTGTTTTACATTTTGATGATATTAAGAAATGGAAAAGTGTTTGTGTTTATCTTTTTGTGCTGCATTTATTCTTAAAGCTAGACATTTCTGACGAGAAGCCGTGTATCTGTTTCTGCATATCTGTTGATTTACAAGATTCCCAAGAACTATGTCTCATGTTTATTCGGAGATGTTATTTGTATGAAATGTGTTGCTCATACGTTGAAATACAAAAATTGAGCATTCTTATTCTATGAACAGTGACAACCATGCATGCACTTGTATACTATATGTATGTATGTATGTATGTATGTATGTATGTATGTATGTATGTATGTATGTATGTATGTATGTATGTATGTATGTATGTATGTATGTATGTACGTATGTATGTATGTATGTATATGTGTGTGTGTGTGTGTATGTATGTGCGTATGCAAGTAAATACACAGTAAATACGTCCATATACGTATTTCATGCCTCTGAACGTTCCTTACTGAGCACCCTCTGTTGCAGGCGACGGCCCCTCCGAGGAGTGGCAGCACAGGCCGCGCGACACTTCTTGGTTCCACGAGATCACGACCACCACTGTGTTCCTGACCACCACGGTTTACACCACAGTTATCCCTTCCCCGTTCACGCCTTCCACGATCCTACCCACCATGGCCTCCTCTGAACACATCAATCCTACGAAGCTCTACGAAGGATCTGCTTCGCAAGGAGTGAGCTCGAGCATTGACCCGCAGAAGGGCGAAGGGAAGGACCTGGGCGAGGACGGGCAAGGGGGCGCTACGAAGAACGGCTCCGATGTGCACGAACGGCCTCAGAGCGACTATCCGCAATCAGGGCACAGTGGGAACCAGATCCCAGGCTCGTCAAGCAGTAAAGACCAGAGCCATGACAAGGGAGGCAAGACGAACTACATCACGGTCACGAAGACCATCACGTCCCCGCCGACGCTCTTCTCCACGAGGCCTTCGACGACCAGTCCCGCCGTCACCTCCCGACGAGTCGAGCTATGACACGACTGATCTCGTTCGGCCCTCTATCGAGTATCCCGGGCCCTCTGCCACCCTCACCGTGCCTTCGGCGACGCCGTCGTTGTCTCAGACAGTCACTCCCTCTCTAACTGTTAACACTAGACCACCAGCGGGCGAGACCTTCTACACCCAACCGTCCTCAATTGTGACTTTCGACGACTCATCTCCTACGGCGACGCTGGAAGGAGGCAGCGGAGGGGGGCTGGACGGACTGGGGTGAACTCACCCCCGAGATGTCGCAGCCAGAACCTGCCACAACCGCGAAAGATGTTCCAGGCAGCGAATTCACTGCTATAATGCCAACACCAGCAGTGGGCGAGTCGGACGAAAATACAATGGAGGAACCTTCAGCGGAACACACCACTGAGACTACACACGAGGGGAGCGGAATGAAAGAGGTGACTAGTTCAGAAGTATGTATGTATGTATGTATGTATGTATGTATGTATGTATGTATGTATGTATGTATGTATGTATGTATGTATGTATGTATGTATGTATGTATGTATGTATGTATGTATGTATGTATGTATGTATGTATGTATGTATGTATGTATGTATGTATGTATGTATGTATGTATGTATGTATGTATGTATGTATGTATGTATGTATGTATGTATGTATGTATGTATGTATGTATGTATGTATGTATGTATGTATGTATGTATGTATGTATGTATGTATGTATGTATGTATGTATGTATGTATGTATGTATGTATGTATGTATGTATGTATGTATGTATGTATGTATGTATGTATGTATGTATGTATGTATGTATGTATGTATGTATGTATGTATGTATGTATGTATGTATGTATGTATGTATGTATGTATGTATGTATGTATGTATGTATGTATGTATGTATGTATGTATGTATGTATGTATGTATGTATGTATGTATGTATGTATGTATGTATGTATGTATGTATGTATGTATGTATGTATGTATGTATGTATGTATTTACGTATGTATGTATGTATGTATATGTGTGTGTGTGTGTGTATGTATGTGCGTATGCAAGTAAATACACAGTAAATACGTCCATATACGTATTTCATGCCTCTGAACGTTCCTTACTGAGCACCCTCTGTTGCAGGCGACGGCCCCTCCGAGGAGTGGCAGCACAGGCCGCGCGACACTTCTTGGTTCCACGAGATCACGACCACCACTGTGTTCCTGACCACCACGGTTTACACCACAGTTATCCCTTCCCCGTTCACGCCTTCCACGATCCTACCCACCATGGCCTCCTCTGAACACATCAATCCTACGAAGCTCTACGAAGGATCTGCTTCGCAAGGAGTGAGCTCGAGCATTGACCCGCAGAAGGGCGAAGGGAAGGACCTGGGCGAGGACGGGCAAGGGGGCGCCACGAAGAACGGCTCCGATGTGCACGAACGGCCTCAGAGCGACTATCCGCAATCAGGGCACAGTGGGAACCAGATCCCAGGCTCGTCAAGCAGTAAAGACCAGAGCCATGACAAGGGAGGCAAGACGAACTACATCACGGTCACGAAGACCATCACGTCCCCGCCGACGCTCTTCTCCACGAGGCCTTCGACGACCAGTCCGCCGTCACCTCCCGACGAGTCGAGCTATGACACGACTGATCTCGTTCGGCCCTCTATCGAGTATCCCGGGCCCTCTGCCACCCTCACCGTGCCTTCGGCGACGCCGTCGTTGTCTCAGACAGTCACTCCCTCTCTAACTGTTAACACTAGACCACCAGCGGGCGAGACCTTCTACACCCAACCGTCCTCAATTGTGACTTTCGACGACTCATCTCCTACGGCGACGCTGGAAGGAGGCAGCGGAGGGGGCTGGACGGACTGGGGTGAACTCACCCCCGAGATGTCGCAGCCAGAACCTGCCACAACCGCGAAAGATGTTCCAGGCAGCGAATTCACTGCTATAATGCCAACACCAGCAGTGGGCGAGTCGGACGAAAATACAATGGAGGAACCTTCAGCGGAACACACCACTGAGACTACACACGAGGGGAGCGGAATGAAAGAGGTGACTAGTTCAGAGAACGCTGCAATTCCCACCGACGGGACGACAATCAGCGAAGAGACCGAAACAACAACGAAAGACGACCGAAACCCCACGGAAATAACGAGTCCTGTCGACGAAACACTGTCAGGAGGGATAATTGTAGACGACACAGTAACCGTAGAGACACATGGGGTTACTGGAGGACCACTAGAAATAACTACACAGCCAAACGAGGCTGAAGAAGAAATTTCAGGCGGCGATGCCTATGAGCCTACAGCCGCTCTCCCTTCTGCAGTTCCCACTCAGACAGCCACGCTCCGCCCACTGGTCGAAGACGCCGAAATCACCCACGACCTCACAACACCAGCGAATGAGGGCACTGACCCTGATACCGAAGACGGAAACGATAACATCTTGACCACGCCGTCCAGTACAGAAAACACTTCAGCGAGCGCCCCCTGGTATCCTGTCACAACAGGTAGCGTCGAGGCAGTCGATCCTTCGCCAGTCGAACTCGACGAGGTAGGAGGCGAAGTCGCCACCAACGCAACGAACTGGAGCGAGAGTTTCCCGGAGACGGCGATAACTCTTCCTTCGGTGTCTGTCTTTCCTGAAGAAGGGAAAGAGGGAGAAGGAGAGGGAAAGGAGGATGGAAAGGAGGGGAAAGACGAGCAAGAAGGTGACAAGGGGGTAAATGAGGAGGAGGAAGAGGACAAGGGCTCCCACTCTCCTGCCGAAGGAACCGAGGCAGAGATGGGCGGGGAGATCACAGAGGACCCTTCGGTGAGTGAAACTTCGACGGTCCTTGTTGGCACAGAGAGCTTAAGTGAGGAGGCTGGTGCGGACGGTGGATATGACGCTGACGTTGGCACTGATGGAAAGGCTGATGATGGTGATGGTACTGACATAGAAACAGCTGCAGGAAATGACAACAATACTGTTGGCAGTGGAGATGATGGTGGCAGTGTTGAAGAGCATGTTACAGGTGTTGGTAGTGGAGGTGTTGATGGCACTGGTATGGAAGGCCCTCCTGGAAACGATACTGGCGTTGGCAGCGGCACTGGTGTTGGGTCCGGAGAGAGTGATGGCATCGGTGTTGCCAGTGGGGATGGAGATGAAACTGGTGTGGTAGGCGTTCATGGAAATAATTCTGTCGCTAGCGGTGGTGGCACTGTTGTTGGCAGTGGAGATGATGGCAGTGATGTTGGTAGTGGAGGTGGCGATGGTACCACTGTAGGAAGTGGAGGTGGAACTCTCGTTAACAATGATGCTGATTTTACGACTGCTGGAAATGCTGAAGAGGACGGGACTATTGTTGGCAGTGGTGATGGAGAGAGCGGTATTGTTGATGGTGACAACGATATTGAAAATATTGGCGGTGGCGATGACGCTGTTGTTGGTAGTGGTGATGACGCTAATGTTGGCGGTGATGACGCTGTTGCTGGCAGTGGTGATGGCACTGTTGCTGGCGGTGATGACGCTGTTGCTAGCAGTGGTGATGACGCTAATGTTGGCGGTGATGACGCTGTTGCTGGCAGTGGTGATGGCACTGTTGCTGGCAGTGGTGATGACGCTAATGTTGGCGGTGATGACGCTGTTGCTGGCAGCGGTGATGGCACTGTTGCTAGCAGTGGTGATGACGCTGTTGCTAGCAGTGGTGATGGCACTGTTGCTGGCGGTGATGACGCTGTTGCTAGCAGTGGTGATGACGCTAATGTTGGCGGTGATGACGCTGTTGCTGGCAGTGGTGATGGCACTGTTGCTGGCAGTGGTGATGACGCTAATGTTGGCGGTGATGACGCTGTTGCTGGCAGCGGTGATGGCACTGTTGCTAGCAGTGGTGATGACGCTGTTGCTGGCAGTGGTGATGGCACTGTTGCTGGCGGTGATGACGCTGTTGCTAGCAGTGGTGATGACGCTAATGTTGGCAGTGATGACACTGTTGCTGGCAGTGGTGATGACGCTGTTGCTGGCAGTGGTGATGACGCTGTTGCTGGCAGTGGTGATGACGCTGTTGCTGGCAGTGGTGATGACGCTAATGTTGGCGGTGATGGCACTGTTGCTGGCAGTGGTGATGACGCTGTTGCTGGTAGTGGTGATGGTGCTGTTGCTGGCAGTGGTGATGGTGCTGTTGCTGGCAGTGGTGATGGCACTGTTGCTGGCAGTGGTGATGGTGCTGTTGCTGGCAGTGGTGATGACGCTGTTGCTGGCAGTGGTGATGGTGCTGTTGCTGGCAGTGGTGATGACGCTGTTGCTGGCAGTGGTGATGACGCTGTTGCTGGCAGTGGTGATGACGCTGTTGCTGGCAGTGGTGGTGGTGCTGTTGCTGGCAGTGGTGATGACGCTGTTGCTGGCAGTGGTGATGACGCTGTTGCTGGCAGTGGTGATGACGCTGTTGCTGGCAGTGGTGGTGGTGCTGTTGCTGGCAGTGGTGATGGTGCTGTTACTGGCAGTGGTGATGGTGCTGTTGCTGGCAGTGGTGATGGTGCTGTTGCTGGCAGTGGTGATGACGCTGTTGCTGGCAGTGGTGATGACGCTGTTGCTGGCAGTAGTGACAAGGGAGACACTGTTGCTGGCGGTGATGACGCTTGTGTTGGTAGTGGTGATGACGTCGTTGCTGGCAGTGGTGATGACGCTAATGTTGGCGGTGATGACACTGTTGCTGGCAGTGGTGATGACACTGTTGTTGGCAGTGGTGATGACACTGTTGCTGGCAGTGGTGATGACGCTGTTGCTGGCAGTGGTGATGGCACTGTTGTTGGCAGTGGTGATGACGCTGTTGCTGGCAGTGGTGATGACGCTGTTGCTGGCAGTGGTGATGGCACTGTTGCTGGCAGTGGTGATGACGCTAGTGTTGGTAGTGGTGATGGCGTTGTTGCTAGTAGTGGTGATGACACTGTTGCTGGCAGTGGTGATGGCGCTAGTGTTGGTAGTGGTGATGGCGTTGTTGCTAGTAGTGGTGATGACACTGTTGTTGGCAGCGGTGATGATGCTGTTATTGGAGGAGACGGAGGTCTTGGTAGTGGTGGTGACCCTGTTGTTGGCAGTGGCGACGGTGTGTTTGTTGGCAGTGGAGATGGCGCTATTGTTGGAAATGGTTATAGCAACGACACTACTGATGGTGATGATGGTGATGACAATGGCGGTGATACCATTTTTGGAAGTGGTGGCTTTAATGGCAATGGTGAAGATGGTGAAGATACTGCTTTCAGCAGTGGTGATGGCACTGTAGCTGGGAGTTATGATGGCAATAACGAAGGTGGTGATGAGAGCGTCGACACTGGCGATGATAGTGGAAGCGGTGATAGTGACAGGACAGCTGTTGGCAGTAAGGACAATAGCTCTGTCGACACTACTGGTGATGAAAATACCACTATAGGAAATGATAGTGAAGGAACTACAGTAAACAGTCAGTCTGACAACGAGAAAGTTAATGGTGAAGATAACAGCGTCACCACAACAATTAGCAGTGAAGATGGTACATCTGCCGATGAAAGTGGGGTCGTAAATGCTGTAGACACTATAGGCTCTGATGGTGATGACACTGGCGTTAGCAGTGGCGATGCTGATGGCCCTGCAGTTGATGCCGATAATGTCACAACTGTAGGCAGTGCCAATGGCTTCGATGAAAGTGGGTCGTAAATGCTGTAGACACTATAGGCTCTGATGGTGATGACACTGGCGTTAGCAGTGGCGATGCTGATGGCCCTGCAGTTGATGCCGATAATGTCACAACTGTAGGCAGTGCCGATGGAGGTGGCATCTTCACTGACGAAGATGGTGAAGCATATAGTGGGGACGGGGAAGCAATACCAAGCAAAGATGGTGAGAGTGCAACTGAAATACCAAAAGGCAGCGGTGATGTAGAGGGCGATGGTGATGCTGGAACTACCACGCCTGCAACAGAAAATACAATGGAAAGTGGAGCTGGAGAAGATGCAATAGAACATACAACAGAAGTTACAACACAAAATACGACAGAAGATACAACAGACCCTAGCAGTGGAATCTACGAATCTGCAGTAGGAAAAGAAGATGGTGTCACCATCCTACCCTTTGGCACTGTCACCTCTGTTAATCTGGTGTCAAGTGCCACCGAAAACGGGACTGCGGTTGCCGTCTCGCCCTCTGAAGCGGTGGCGATCCTCTCCTCGTCCGGCATCGAGTCGTCCATGTCTGTAGTCTCTCTGCCACTCAAGCCGACGCCGGTGACGACTCCGTTGCCTATTGAGACGACCAGCGTGTTGCCGAGTCTGCAAGTTACACCCCCTTCCCCAGCAGACTGTTTCTCCCCTCTCCCAGGGCCAGCCCAGACGCCAACAGTCTCCCCAAGCTTCGCCACGGCCCCGCCCCACGTCGATAAGGACCCTGAGGATACTGTGCTATCTATCGACAGTGGCAATGACACCAAGGAGACGGAGGCAGGATCTATAGTAACTACTTCCTCTTCTGAGACGTTTTCAGTTGAGACGTCGACCAATTCATCGACTGAGATCGGAGATTCGTCTTTCCCTTCGCTTGAACCTTCGGCAGGAGCAACGTCTGACATTCCTGACACAAGTCCTACGACGTACACCCTCTTCGACGCCCACGCATGATTCGTTTAATATTACAGCGTCGACACTTACACCTTCGGTTGACGAAACTCTGGGAACGAGACCCTCTGACTACTTATCATCAACTCCTTCGTCAGTGACTGAGCTAATCACTCTGCCACAGAGCTCGATAACCACACCGCCGATGACTTCGTCACCAGAGAGCTCTCAAATCACAGAACATTCCACGTCAGCTTCATCAGCATCCTCAACAGCAACAATAATTACATCAGTAACAGCAACTGAAAAACCAACAACGACAGCAACAACATCTGCAGGAACGACAACAACAACAACATCAGTAGCAACAACATCAGCAACAGCAGCAGCAGCAACAACAGCAACTCCATATTCAACCAAGACGCCTCCAACAACAACGCAAAGCCCACAGATAACTGCAACAACAGAGCTGACAACAGGCGTGCAACCCAGCCCGCCGAGCCCTAGTAACAATGCCACAGTGCCCTTAGACCAGAGGTACTGGGTCAGGACAGTGCTGGAAGGTCCCCCTGCCAGTGACGACCCGCAGCTCTATTGGGCAAGCATGGAGGCATTATTAACAGATGCTTACAGAGAAGCTTATCGACGGAGTGCAAACAAGATAAATCGATAGAAGATGCAATAGAACATACAACAGAAGTTACAACACAAAATACGACAGAAGATACAACAGACCCTAGCAGTGGAATCTACGAATCTGCAGTAGGAAAAGAAGATGGTGTCACCATCCTACCCTTTGGCACTGTCACCTCTGTTAATCTGGTGTCAAGTGCCACCGAAAACGGGACTGCGGTTGCCGTCTCGCCCTCTGAAGCGGTGGCGATCCTCTCCTCGTCCGGCATCGAGTCGTCCATGTCTGTAGTCTCTCTGCCACTCAAGCCGACGCCGGTGACGACTCCGTTGCCTATTGAGACGACCAGCGTGTTGCCGAGTCTGCAAGTTACACCCCCTTCCCCAGCAGACTGTTTCTCCCCTCTCCCAGGGCCAGCCCAGACGCCAACAGTCTCCCCAAGCTTCGCCACGGCCCCGCCCCACGTCGATAAGGACCCTGAGGATACTGTGCTATCTATCGACAGTGGCAATGACACCAAGGAGACGGAGGCAGGATCTATAGTAACTACTTCCTCTTCTGAGACGTTTTCAGTTGAGACGTCGACCAATTCATCGACTGAGATCGGAGATTCGTCTTTCCCTTCGCTTGAACCTTCGGCAGGAGCAACGTCTGACATTCCTGACACAAGTCCTACGACGTACACCCTCTCGACGCCCACGCATGATTCGTTTAATATTACAGCGTCGACACTTACACCTTCGGTTGACGAAACTCTGGGAACGAGACCCTCTGACTACTTATCATCAACTCCTTCGTCAGTGACTGAGCTAATCACTCTGCCACAGAGCTCGATAACCACACCGCCGATGACTTCGTCACCAGAGAGCTCTCAAATCACAGAACATTCCACGTCAGCTTCATCAGCATCCTCAACAGCAACAATAATTACATCAGTAACAGCAACTGAAAAACCAACAACGACAGCAACAACATCTGCAGGAACGACAACAACAACAACATCAGTAGCAACAACATCAGCAACAGCAGCAGCAGCAACAACAGCAACTCCATCTTCAACCAAGACGCCTCCAACAACAACGCAAAGCCCACAGATAACTGCAACAACAGAGCTGACAACAGGCGTGCAACCCAGCCCGCCGAGCCCTAGTAACAATGCCACAGTGCCCTTAGACCAGAGGTACTGGGTCAGGACAGTGCTGGAAGGTCCCCCTGCCAGTGACGACCCGCAGCTCTATTGGGCAAGCATGGAGGCATTATTAACAGATGCTTACAGAGAAGCTTATCGACGGAGTGCAAACAAGATAAATCGAGAGAAGATGAAAATGAAAACGAAGGCTTCAAACCAAACGTCCAAAGATACAAAAGAGCCCACCATCGACCCCACGACAAGCAACCCGTATGAGAACTACACCACGATCACAGCCCGGGTGAGGAGGCATGTTCCAGACATCACGACTCCTTTGCCTCCTCTGAGACGTCGTCGCCGAAGGAAACGTGACATTCGTGCGGGCGAGAGAATCTATGACATGTCCCCAGGGCTCATGCGGAGAAAGGCCATGGCAATCCTCAGCGATGACGAAAAGGCACCAAACAATCGTCCAGGTTCTAAACCAACCCACAATTTGCCCCCAAATGCGAAATCCTCTACACGGCCTCTGAGAAGGAACTTACACCTATGGTCGATACGTAAAAAGACATCGCTCAAGCGCCTCGAGATAGGCCTCAACAGAAGAAAACGGACCACGGCTGAGAACGTGAAGGTACGACTCCATAACGTGACGTATGACAATGTGACAGATACGACAGAGTTAATCTACACTGTATTCGACGACGAGGAACCCATCCTCGCCCGCGAGGCTGTGGCGAACATGTCGAACGTCGATGATATGGAGATGGCGATCATGCTCGACCAGGTTGTGGTGGTCAAAGCTGAGGGTAAATGTCTAGAGTTCTGCCAGCTTTTCATAATGATAACGATTATAATGCTTTACTAAAGATTAATGGTAATAATGAGAATTCAATGATGTTGAGAAGAGAGATGATTGTAATACTGATAACAGTGTTAGTAAATGTCATTATTAATAATTAATGTTCATGATATTGATGATAATTATATTAATCATAATTATAAGTATAGCAATGTGACAAGGATTACATTATAACAATATTGGTAATTGCGTTTCTAATAACGAAAGTGATGATAAGACAATCTCATACTTGATTATGATGATAATGACATATGTAACTATGATAAACAAAGATAATTATTTAAACAATACTAACGGCAATGCTAAAAATATTATGATTATAGAGATAATAGCAATTACACTAACAGTATTAGGAAAAGAAGCAACAATACCACCAAACCTTCCCGCCACAGAGTACCTGAGGGCGCCCCCGACGCCGCAGAAGGCCGAGCTGGTCTACTGGATCATCGGCGGCGTGATTGGGGCGGTAATGCTGGTGGTGTTCGTGGTGTGGCTCGGCGCCTTCGTGTATAAGAGGCACAAGAGGGAGAGGGAGATCCTTCAGCCAGATTCGCAGGTGCATCCCATTCCTAATCATTCATCTTTCGTTTTCCTTATTCTCTCTTTTTTTCGTGTTATGTAAAGGTAGCAATATATACATATACATATATATATATATATATGTATATATATATATATATATATATATATATATATATATATATATATATATATATATATATATATATATCGTCATCATAATCATCAGCATGAGTCAATCACTGCAGACGTAGGCCTCTCCCAGTCTTTTCCAACTTTGTCTTGCTTCCAGTTTTGGCCCCCAAATTTCGTTATTCCGTCGCGGCATCCTGCCATAGGTCTAGCCTTCATTATGTTATCTATAGCCCAGTCTGTTACTTTTTTTGTCCATCTGTTGTCCTGTCTCTGACATATATGACCTGCCCTTTGCATTTTTTTTTTCTATTTGATGCTCCCATTTGTATTTTCAACTTTTGTCTGTTCCTCTCCAGTAATTTAATTGTAGTCCATGTTTCTGATCCATAGGTCATAACTGGGAGGATGCACTGGTTAAAGACTTTTCTTTTCAAACATAAGTGCAAGGAGCCTCTCAGTATGCTACTGTGTCTGCCAAAGGCGCCCTAGCCTAGACTGATGTATCGCTTAATTTCCTCTTTGCTAGATGTGTTTGTCTGTACGAGATGTCCTAGGTATGCTTGTCTACCACCTCTAGCACTTCGCCTTGAACATGTATCTGTTCGAATTGAACTCTACTATTGAACATGATCTTACTCTTTTCCTTGTTCATCCTAAGTCAGACTTTCAGGCTTTATCTATTCAGATCATTTATTAGTTGCTACATTTCTTATACAGATTCACTGAAGAGAACAATATCTGCAAATCTTTGATTTTGATATTCGTCCCCTATTTTGATACCCTTTTCGGTCCATTCTAGCGTCTTGAATATTTCCTCAAGGCAAGCTGTAAACAGTTTTGGTGAGATGATATCGCCCTGTCTTACGCCTTTTTTAATTGGGATTTTATCGGTTTCCGTGTGGAGCTTGATGGTTGCTGTCCCAACTTCGTTTATACCAAATGCCTTTTCGTAATCGATGAATGCCATGCACAGGGGTTTCCTATATTCATTTATTTTTTCTCTTATTTGGGTGAGCGTGTGTATGTTGTTTGTTGTTGAGAATCCACCGCAGAAGCCTGCCTGTCCTCTAGGCTGGTTAGAATCCATGGGCCGGATACTCAAAACAGTTTACAGTGTTGTGTCTCACCACGGAGCCGTTACAATGTCATAAAGTCTCCGAAGGCCATGCTCGAAACAAAATTAGCCACCATGTTATGACGTCACACATTGTAAAGTACCTTGTAAGTTACAACTGCTTTGGGGCTCTCGTACAGGTTTGAAACCGGATATAGTACGGTTTATTTTCCGATTACTTAATCGACAGAGACCTTTATTTGACAGTAACATGCCTTTGCCATATTTAATACCAGGGAATTTCAATTGTCTAGTGCATTCTTTGTTCTCCATGCATTACCGTTATCTTGAATCAAATATAAATTGTCTGTAAATTGAGTTGACAAACGACAAACAACATGTTTTACTGGCTGCTCAATTTCATGGCCGAGCATTGCAGCGTGAGACATTATTATAGTTTCACTCTATGAAGAGGATAAGCATTTATTGCGATATCACAGATTTCTTAGATTTGTTTAACTATAACCACATTTGATGCCAAATATCCAACTAGACAATCCTTTCAAGAATTATTATTTCGATAATCCGTATGTATGTTTACATCAATTTACATGAAATTATGATTTTTTGACTGTATGTAAAAAGTCATATGTAAGACCTCATAAATACTTTGTTAAAAATGTAAGTAATAATGTATATCATAATTTATTTATTCTTTGAAATTCACCATAGTTAATATATTTTACAACACTTGGCTGAGTCTTTCAAAAATATCACTCGGGGAGACCATGGTGACCGTTGGAGGCGTGGCAATAAGAGCAGTCTAGCAGGCTGACTGCTGA